AGGTTTCTAAATTCAAATCTTGAAGTGAAAAGTGACAGTGCGATTACCGAGGTGGCGCCTAAATCGATTTTCGATGGACGGATTTGTCGATAAGTGTGCACTGTTTAACCGACACGGAACTCGGAGTTTGTCCCCGACGTCACAGACGAGATATAAGTGTTACGTACGAAGACACTCTCGTGACCTCTTAACCCTATCGGAAGTTCGAATGCATCAGATTTTCTTGGAAAACAGTTTCCGTGGAGGAACAGGCATGTCCCCCACTACTTTTAGATTCGATTTTCGGGGTATAAAAAGGGACGCGTACAGCTCATCAGCGGGTCATACTGATACCAGAAATCTACTTAGTGAAATCGGGCATTAAAGTCCCTTTCAAGCATTTTAAAAGTAAACTAAACGCTGTACAAGAAGCCCCCGCATTTCTCAGTGCGTAAAAACCGAGAACGTTGGAATTAGCTTCCGCGACAACAACTTACATTAACATTTCTAAAACCTTTACTTTCTTGAATATACTTTATATACATTTATATATTTATAATTCAGTGTTGTTCATTTCAACTCTAGAATAATATCTAAATTCCCAGCTAGAAGCGAACCCACAAAGGCACACTTTTACCACTCGAAGTGTACCGAATTCGTAAAGTTACGAGGCCCATACGAACCATCCTAATGGCTCCCTGAGATGAAATAGGCTCAAGTTCGTCCACACAACAAACTAATAAAAAAAAAACAAATTCGTCATTCCTCGGCTTTCGCAGTCGTTTAACCCTGGCTCGTAACATAAGAATAGACCTAACATCGTCTGGATCGACCTAACCGCCTTAACAAGCCCTGATATGAACTGTAAGCAATTATAAATTTGACGAACCCACTGTCAGTAGTTTTCCATCTTACCACCAGAAGGCCAAAATCTAAGCCTCGCCTCCACCGACTTTCCAAATACACCCGCTGTCGTTCGGTTCGCACCGGCTTAATTAGCACGTAGCTAAATGTCTTCCCCATAGACGCTAATACCTTATTTTTCTTTTTTCAAGCCCGTTCGGCCTGATATCGCTCGAACGAGGGGACGGGAGAACCGTTCTTCCCATCGCGGTGTTTGCCCCCTTCCTCCCCCGCGGCCTTCGACACTTGGACATAGAATCGGGGAGAAACAGCTTCGTGTTTCTTTTCCCGCGGGCATTGCCGCTTCCTGGTTCGTGTAATTTCGTCCCGCGTCGTTTCCAATTGCATATCGTGTCGGTTATCGGCGGTTTTTCAGTCTCGAACCCGCTTTGAACGCCCTTCCGCACAATGTTGAGTAAAATAATCGTCATTACTTCTAGCCATGGGCGTAGCCAGGTTATCAGTCAGGGGGTGGGGGGCAAAAATATTAACACGTCGACTGCTACTGTGAAAAAGGCTGTACGTAGTCAGACACTTTATATTGTTTTTAGTCATAAATCGTTCACAATGTATGCGTTTTCAAATTATACTGCAATATTAAATATTACGCAAAAATTTGGTAACTCTGGGAAGGGGGGGGTCAAAATCCAATTTTTTTCTTGTCGGGTGGGGCGAAAGTCACTTTTTTTCCGCCCAGGGGTGAAAGTGTCCCCCCCCCCCAGGGCTACGCCCATGCTTCGAGTTGCTTCGAAAATTCGCTGGACACCCTCGGCCCATTTTGCTGTACTGTGTCTCGGTATTGGGCAAATTTCTAATAACAAAATAAATTAATATTTTGACGTGATAATAAAATAAAGAAATGAATGAACTTCGAATAACAAGTGATATTCATACATTCGGTATTTATAATCGGTGGTAATTCATTTTTCGATAATGAATCATTTTCTTCGTAACTATAATTTCATGATCGAATGAAGTTTTATTCAATAAAACCGTAAATTTATTACATTACGAGACCAATTTTATATAATATTATATCATATTTTAGATTTTATTATACAGCGTGTTGTGTAACTAGTGATATATACAACCGGGTATGGGGTGAATCTATGTGCAAAAATAAATCGAAAATATACAATAAAATATTTTCATTTGAGACTCCGTTTTTCAGAAAATTGATTTTGAACATTAATTTGAAACATGTGTATTCGTTCTGGTAGTAAGTAGAAATGGAATGCAACGAACAAACGCGCTAGCCAAGTCCTATTCAACTGCACGTGTGTCCAGCAGATTTTCAAAGTCGATTTTCTTGAAAACGACGTCTCAAATGAAAAAATTTTATTCTATATTTTCGTCTCATTTTTTCACGTAGAATCACCCTGTACCCGGTTGTACTACCCGTTGCGTAACACTCTGCATATTAAATTATATACATAAACAAGAATCAATAAACCATACAATCTGTTTCAAAGGCGAACTTTTCTTCGACCTATTCGACCTCAAACGTTATAAGGCCTATGTGTCAGATGTACAAATAAATAATCTACCATCGCTTCAATACGACGGTAATAAGTTTAAACACAGAATATCTTTTCGTTCTCCTTTGTAGCCGAAATGATAAAGAATCGTGGAGACAAGCAACGATCATTATTACCCTCTTCAGACCTGCCTTCTTTTCTTTCAAGTATCAACTTTTTGTTGTGAAATTCTATTGTTGCAGACAACAAGGTTCAAATTTTAGAAGAAAAAACGTTAAAATTATTGTACATTGCCATGTGCATTGGGTATGAGGTGGTCAAGATAGCATAGGAATTTGAATTACTTCAGTGCAAATACAAAATTTTCCCCAAAAAATAATGGACTATTTATAGACATTTTATAGACATTTTATTAAATCATCTCGGGAACTCTACGGCAAACCATATCCATACAGTGACTCACACTGAAAATCGTTCACTACCATCGCTCCTTATTCGCCATTGTAAAATCTACTAAATACAAATCGGCGGATGAATTCTAGTCGGATGGCCTCTACTGTTTTCTACAGCTGTTAATCTATTAAACATCAATGTTTCTATATTACATTCTGTATAGAAAATTAACGAAAGAAAGGTCGTGGACGATTTTCAATGCGAGCCACTGTATATTTCTTAAAACAATGACAAAGGAAGACTATTTAAGAGCAAGCCGCTTTTCGATAATTCACACTGATCAGGTCGGACGATAGGGAATAGTACGAGCCCTTTCGGTCAATTAATCCGTTCGGTTCCGGACAAGTAGCATAAAATTAGTCCTGATGGCAGGTCCGCACGCAGCGGCTATATTATCAGAGGCAATTTCTCTCGCTCCAGGGATTACCTGCCAATCAGTGTCGCGAACGTTCGCCGCGTATAGCGTTTGTATGATTGCCCGACGCATACGATTCTTCCACCAGCCCCCGGTCCGTTCCTCTTGGTTATACCCAATACCATCGGCGTTCCTGCGTCAACAATAATTTTCCTCGTGCGTTCCGAAAGACACGAGTGCAGCGTGACAGCTCTCCGGAGATTATAGCATAACCGAGTTTAATATGCGAATTGCCGAATGTTCGCAAAAATTCTTAGCAATACGTTCAGAAAATCCATGAACGGTATTTTTTTGTGACTACGTTCACAATGCCGCGTGTCTTCCACGTATTTATATGTTTCCTATACTTTGTATCCTCGCGAGCAAACTCGGCTTCCGCTAGGGGAAAAAGTGGCGTAGGGGAAGGGCCTCCTAGCACTTGGTGAATTTATTTCAAGTACTGAAATAAGTGGAAATAAGTGTTAAAATACATGGTAATTTGGCATAAATTTCAGAAACTTCCGAATTCAAATGGTAGATGGCCTTTTCCCTACGCCACTTTTTTTCCCTAGCGAAAGAGTAAGGGCCTCTTACCACTTGGTAAATTTAATTCAAGTACTGAAATAAATAATAAAATGAATGTTAATTTGACAAAAATTGCAGAAATTTTCGAAACCAAATGGTAGGAGGTCCTTCTCTTACGCCACTTTTTCCCCTAGCGGAAGCCGTGTTTGCTCCTGAGGGTACACTAACGTGCAAACTCGGCTACCTTTAGGGGAAAAAGTGACGTGAAGAAAAGTTTCCTACCACTTGGTAAATTTATCTCAAAAACTGAAATAAATGTTAAACCGAATGTTAATTTGTCATAAATTTCAGTAACGCCCAACACTAAATAGTAGGAGGCACTTCGCCTACATCACTTTTCTCCTAGTGCAAGCTGAGTTTGCTCGTAAGGGTAACCTAGGGGAAAAGGTGTCGTAGGAAAAGGACCTCCTACCATTTGGTATCAGGAATTACTGAAATTTGTCAGCTTAACATTTGAGTCTGCCGGCGGAACTCTGATTGGTCGGAATTTTTCGTTAATATCTCGTTAACAAAGCCTCGGATAACATTTTTGCTAAAGAAAAACAGGTTCTCCAACATTTTTGTTACACCCTGTACAAGAGTATTGCTATGAATTTCGTACGAGAAATTTTCTAAGTTACACCCGCGTCATTGGTTGTCTCAAGCCACGGACGAAAATCAAGTTTGAAAATGTTCCGTTTCTCGTTCTGATGGTTCTACGAATATCAGAAAAAAACTTTTAATACCGAAACATTGCTGTAACCTGTGAATAATTTCAACAGTCTCTTCTAGGTCGAAACCGCTTTTCACCCGGTCGACTACTCAGCAAATGAGCCCCGCGATTCGCGATAATTGTCAGGAGAATAAACTTAAATTTTTCATCCTGTGGGGCGGGGTTAGCATCGCGGGTAAAACCATCAAAGCGATTTTACCATGTCTCTTACCTCTCTGCGCCAATGTTTGCGACCGCGGGCGAGAGAAGTTTTTAATTGGCCACCCTTAATTAGTTAACCAGCAATCCGGCGGTACTGTCTCGTGTTTTCGCTCGAGTTCCATCTCCGACCGTGATTAACTGTATTTACTTAACTTTATCGCCAAGAATATGCAAAAAATACTCGAAATTTTTCGGCAGAGATTTCCAATATCTTAGCCCATAGAATTTTTCGACTTCCAATCGAACAGCTGTCCACGTTGTCGTCACTGACGATGAACGTTCGTTTGTTTTTCAGAAGGCAGCAGACAGATCGGACCACACGCATGCACAGTTTGCCAGAACGTAGTCGAAGGCAGCGCGCAAAGTCGGACCCTACCTAGAAGTCAAGCGTCCCAGTATGGACTTCGAGAAGATCAAGTAGTACCCGGTGCACGTGTATGTAACACCTGCCGGTGTAAAGCTGTCAGGGGACGGTATACCGCATGTCCTTTGCCCGGTTGCCCGAATTTGAACAACGCCAGCTCGAAGACCAGAGTGAAACGACTGAGAGCGTTGCCCGCCAAGTGGCTTGATCTACCGGCTGAGATTCGTGACCCGATTATCCAAGAGTTCCGTGAGTATTGCTTCAAAGTCTCACAAAAGAAAATTCATCTGTTCCATATAGTAATTTATTTAACAGTTGTTTGTCTCTCTCTCTTTTTTTTAGAAATACCTAGCAATGTGACAAAATGCTGTTCAGCCTGCTTTAACCGAATATCTCGACGTCTAGCGCCGCACCTAACTGGTGGCAGCGAGGTCGCCGAAGACACAACCGATTCCTTAGTCCGGCAGTGGACGGACGAGGAACTGGAACAGCTCAGAAGAGCCCTTAGAGAACACGGCACCAACTGGGTAAAGGTCGCCGAACAGATCCCTGGGAAGACGAACCATCAATGCAAGAACTACTACTTCGCGTACCGAAAGAAACTTAGCCTGGATCAAGTGGTCGCCGAGTATTATCAATCTTTGGGCGAAGATAGGAGACCTTGCTTGACGGATGAAGAAGAGAGCGGGAGTAGTACGAGTAGCTGCGACGAGCTGGCGGTTAGCGTTGACGTGTTTTTATAATTATTAAATATTCCGAAAAGTTCATGCGGTTTCCTTCGAAAAGTCACTTTTAAATCAAGTCAATTGTTATTGGAAAATGCTTCTCCAGCGCGTAAGACGAGTTAATTCATCACGTATGTTATATATAACGTAACATGTGGGTCATTCCACGTCAACCGGGACTAAAAATTTTGGATCACCTCTCCAATTCTGTTGAAGAACCTTCACGTATTCTGTATGGCGTAGAAACACGCGTGATTTTTCTCAGATTTTTAAAATTAATATTTCAGAAAATATAAACGATTAAAGATTGCATAAAATGCTTAAAATTGAAAGTCCACTTACATTCAAATGTCACGAGCTTAATATGAAGCTTGTAAACTAAACAGAACTGAAAATATTGATGTTTGAATGTAAACTGATTTCCAATTTCAAGCATTTTGTGCAATCTTTAATCGTTTATATTTTCTGAAATATTAATTTAAAAAAAAAAAAGAAAGAAAAAAAATCACACATGTTTTTACGCCATACAGAACACGTAAAAAAACTCCAAGAAAATCGGAGGCATGATCGAAAATTTTCTCTTTAAATCGTCCCGGTTGGCGTGGAATGACCCATGTTCAGAGTGCGCTTTCGGTTAGCGAACTCCATGGTTAAAAGGTTAAATCTCTTCTGACTTTGTATTGCATTTATACTGCCCTACGGCTAGAAAATCTTGAAATACATAAGCTAATAGGAAGAACTAATTCCTAACATGTTATTCACTCATAACTGCATTATAATCATGTAAATGAATGATTAATGTGACTGAAGTAATAATGAGACATGCTGTAGAAACACGAACTTCCTGGAATACTGAATAATAATAATAAACTTAAACTAGAAACATTTTTTACATCGCGATTCCTATTTGTAGGTTCACGATTCAAGCGACACAGCCAGCGCAGGCAGCCCAGCGAATAATATGTCAAGCGGAACACCAGGAACACCAGGTGCATCCGCGTCTACGACTTTGCCTATATCTTTTCCACGAACGACAGACCAAAAGCTTGGCGACAAGCTGGCGGACATTGCTGTGGTATCTTTAGTACCACCGGTAAGCATAGGTTCGTCACAACAGTCTTCCACCAGCGGAAGTAGCAATGCTGCTTCAGCTAGCGCTAGAGAAGATTACGATAGTTCAGCCACGGTAAGACCAAATTTCCTGTCGCCTCTGAGTTATAAAAAAGAAGAGAAACAGCTTTAGATTGTTATAAATATTATTTGAGCGTTTGCATTGCCATTTTATTTTCCGATTGTTAAAAAACGAAGAAAGTTTGTTTCTTGATTGGGCCGTCTGATAGAGGTTCGCTGATTGTTTCAGGAGACGGCGGACGAAGGTCAGGGAGGTGCCGATTTAGAAAATAGTAGCGTCGTTGTAACCCTGACAACTGCCAACAATTCGACACAACTCCAGCAACACCAACAATCACATCAACAAGTTCCACCGCCTTCGCATTCGCCTCCATCAACCACCAGCAACTCCAATCCTCTAACCGTTAAAGATCTTATGCTTGGTGTTATCGAGATGCAATTGAAACGCAATCCAAACAGTCCAGCTAGTACCGGGGGTTCCTCGGTGCCAGTCAATTCTGGTACGCCAACTATATCCAGTATATTGAAGACCGATCACCGGAACGACATTACATTCGTGCGAGAATATAAGCCGTCAAATTCTATGGCAAACACCACTATGTCGAGGGACTTGAATTTGGCTACATTGTCGGTTGTGTCGGGTCCTCATCACGGACATCGTTCTGCTCCTAGTCCTCAACAAATTGGTAAGTAGTATTAGGATAAATATTTATACAGTTCCGTTGTATTTTATTTGAGGAACTGTATTCGACAATTCTCTCCAGGCCAAATGCAAGCAACAATTACCCCCTGTCCACCAGCGGCATCAAGCAGTCAGTCTTCATCGTCGGACTTGATTCCAAAGGAAGGATTAATCGTGATGCAAGTGCAACAAGCGCTGCGAGAGACCGAAGGCACCCTCGACTTGAGTATTAAAAAACCAAGGCAACAACAAGAATACAATCATTCCTTGCAGCCCATTCATAAGCCACCGACGGTTGCCCTCTATCGTCCAGAACCTTCTCCCGGCGCTTACTACCATCATCACGCTCATCCAGAGCAAAGCCGTAGTGCAAAAAGCCCATTGGTTTATGCTTCTTCCCCACGACCTCAGGCACCTTTGACACCTAAAATGAATAAGGTCGCCGTGCCGCCACCTCATCCAAAACTGTCACCCAAATTGAACAGTATGGGGACACCTGTTCACAAGAGTGGCTCCATCACGCACGGTACACCCGTGTCCAGCGCGCGTTACGAGGGTCTTCTCAGACAAATGACGCCTCCAGGAAACCCTGTCAGTGCCACTGGCACGCAGAACGTTACCAGCGGCACCGGCGTCGTTAATGCCTCCAATAATCAAGGACCTAAAGAAACGGGTTCCATAACCCAAGGCACTCCTGTCCATCCCTTCGCGGTGGACAAACGCGCTCCCATGTACGATTATCACAGAACTATCAGACACTCGCCCGTAACGACAGGCAACATTCCTGGACAAGGCCAAAGTCAAGCAGGAACCGCTGCAGTCGTAGTGACACATAGTAATCAATACAATTCTTATCCCGGGCGGCCACCACCTAGCTACACGATGGAGCAACAGCTATCCTCCAGACAGATCATCATGAACGACTACATAACCAGCCAACAGATGCACGCGCGCAGCCGAAGTGTTGGCACGTCGGAAGGCAGTAACAAAAACGAACCGCCATCGACGTTGTACTACACAAGCACTCCGCCCCCGCAGTCGCATACGCAACCCCGTCAGGGAGTCATCCAGAGGCATAATCCTCAGAAACAGATTCACTACCCACCTCCACCACCGGGACTGGAAGCCTTTTCCAGTTTAGTGGATGTCGCCGTGCAACAACCGAGTCTTCCAGTTCCCCATCCGCACAGCCACCCCGCGTCTGTTAGCAGCAGCCACGAGGGTCTCGGCAAGACCATGGCGGACAGGCTATTAGCCGACCGTTATGGTGATAAGCATCGCTTGGCTATGCATCAGGCGGATCACAGAATGACGGTGGCTCATCATCACCAACGGGATCGAGACAGAGAACGCGATTTGGTTCATCTACGCGAGAAAGAAGAGTATAGGTTGCAACGGGAAAAGGAAATTCAGCAGCAAGAGCACAGATTAGCTCAGCAGAGAGAAAAAGATGCGCAACATGCTGAGCACCGATTATCTATGCAACAGAGAGAGAAAGATATACAACACCCCGATCACCGTCTTACCGTCCATCAGCAGAGAGAAAAGGAAATACACCAGCAAATGGCTGCGGCCGCTGCACAGCGAGAGAAGGAACATCAGGAGCATCGATTGGCCGTGCAACAGCAAAGAGAAAGGGACATGCATATACAACAGCAACAGCAACAGCAACAACAGCAACAGCAACAGCTTCAACAGCATATTCAGCAGCAGCAAAGAATGGAAGCTGAGAGGAGGCATATGGCGCAGTTATATAGAGACCAGCAACAACAACAGCTTGATAGGGACGCTAGCAGGTTAATGAACAGTGGGTTTACTCAATCATCGAGACATCAACAACCGCAGCAATCGCAGCAGCAACAGCAGCAATCATCGTCTAGGCAAAGTCAGTCCTCCTCAAGCCAGCCGCAGAACGAGCCAGCGTCTACCTTAACCGCCGCCAGTTTAATAGATGCTATTATAACTCACCAAATTAATCAGAGCGTTGAAAACACTAGTGGAAATTCCCAGCCGCAACGACCGGGCGATCGTCTTTTCCAGGTACGTTAGAAATTCCTCGCATTATCTCTCGTCACCTGTGCTTCCCTTGTTCGCCGGCCACGTGCGCGAATGTGTTTTATACGATAGAAAACTTTCCAGGGATTCCATCGGGAAGCACCGGCAGAACCTAATGGGATGGCTCATAGTCCTGCTGGCGAAGGTAACGGAGGGAATAGCGGAGCGGGAAGCGGTAACGGAAGTGGAAACAAGCCGATTACTCTTGGAGAACATGTGGACCACATTGTTTCTAAAGATTACGGCCCTCCGCATTCCTCGTATAGATCTTATAGCGGGTGAGTCACGGGTAGAACGTAATTTGAATTGTTCAGTGAAAAGCAATGAGATGTTTATGATGAAATAATTCGAGTAGGTACCAAATTTCGGAAGATCAATGGAAGAGGCGAAAAGCCAACGAGTCCGAATCCGTTAAAGCTGGAGATGAACGTCAGATAATCCGTGTGACGCAACAGCAGTCACAACAACAGCAGCAGCAACAACAGCAACAACAACAACAGCAACAGACTGCGTCCGTGGTAGGAAAGCAACAGTTCCATTCAGTCGAGCCTGTGTCGCCACCGGAAGCAGGTACCAATCATTATGGACGTCGTTTGTACGAAACAACCACTGCCACTTCGACTTCCGGAACCCCTTCCAACAAGCCCCATCTTTCGCCACTGGATTACGTAAAGAATAAGATCGTCGAAGTAATGCGTACATCCGAGGACGATAAAGGTGGTAGCACAGGTGACAGGAACGGAGGGAACGTTACTAGTGGAGAGAAGGACGAAAAGATAGGAGGAAATATAGAGAGTCCTTCCAGCGGAGAGATGATGGTCGACGAGGCACCGAATCAAGCTCCGCAACCTCCTGCACCAGCTCCTACAACCACCTTCTATCCGTTCAGTGCGTTAGGAGTGCATACTGGCCCGCCACCAGCGCCGCCACCCCCGACTTCCGGTTCCGCTTCCGTAACTAAGTCGGAACAAATGCAAGCCGAGCCGGCGCCGTTGCTATCTGCCCAGTACGAACCACTTTCTGACGAGGATTGATAATCTAATAATTTAGCCACGTACAGATCGACACGCTGTGACACGTTTCTTAGGGTATTTACACACACTTTGTCACGATCGAACGTTTCCACGATTAGCAGTGTTTGTCGGGTGTTAGCCGTTGCGTTCTTACTGGTCATCAGGTTCTGATCGCATTGGGGAGATTCAGTTTCATTTTCTGTTTCGTTCTCTTCAATCTTTTTTTTCTCTCTTCCCCCCTCTCCCCGACCCCTCCCCCCTCTTTTTTTTACAACTTTATTCATAATTCCGCAAATGGAGATTATAGCACGACGTTTTACGTAGAGTTTAATATTTTATAAATTTCGTATTTTCATTATATTTTTTAGTCAAGAGATCATTCCCCAACCCCCGCAGTACGCAGAACGATCACGACGTTTTACGAAAGCATTGTTTTAAATGGACCGTGCAGACCGCGAAAAAGCCTTCGTTCGAACATAACAATAGCGTAATTTTAAATGATTATTAATATTTTTGTACGCATTACATATTGCAACGTAAACGCGTACTAAAAAGGAACGCGTATTATCACCAGCTAGTTTAAACGCAATTACTCCTGTTTCTGTCGCCATTCTGTTCCAAGGGGACGTCTTTCGGGCGCGCTTCAAACTTAATGGCAGAGGAAGAAAGAATTTTAATTTTTTTTTACACGATATAAGAACTATTTGTACAGATTCAAAATGATAAAGTGATTAAATTTTTCTGTACGAACTTTCACGTATCGTTATGTGTGCGTTCTCTTTTTTTTTTCTTTTTAAATACATCCGAATTAACAAGGAAGCGATACAGCGAAGTCGGTCAAAAGAAATTCCTTTCTTTTATTATTCATTCTTTTCTTTTAATGCGTTGGATACTCTCGATGCGTTAACAGCCTTTGCAGACCAAGTATTGTTTCGCGTTCGTAGAAATTCTTTCGATCGACGCCGGGTTGAGTTCGATAATTAACACTGATGATAATAGTGGTCGACCCGTGGAACGTCCAGGCTAGCCCAAGTTCACAAATGGAGACGCTTCTTTCTTTTTTCTTTTTTTTTTTTGTACATAATGAATATGTAATCGTTAAATGATGATGATGAAACGTTAAAGGCATACATGTTTTTATTTGGAATGAGTCTGTGATGTGTCTGGGATTAGGTAGCCTGAACCGTAGTATCAGTGCGACAAAAAGAGTGTGTAACCTTCGGTCCGCGACGATGTTTCCGTGGATGCACGCAAGAGAACCCCGTATGAAGCGCATGCGCGTACAGGACAACTAACAGTGTACTCCGTGTTCACGAGATTGCTCGAGATGTTCTCTCTCTTTCTCTCTCTCTTTCTCTCTCTCCTTGGTGAAGTGGGTTTTAAGTGAAAAATGAAAAAAAGGTGTAATTTCTAAGTGTTGTACATAGTACACAATATTAATTTTTAAGTTGAGCAAGTAGGTATATGATGGCTAGTTTGTCGTATGCTATTGTAAGAATCTAGATTATAGCGTAAGTGATGTAGCTAGCATTTAGGGGATAGACGCCATGAACTGACTAGGGAATATCTTCCCGAACTATAACGTTCCCTTATCGATGAGGATAACGCGGGCGATTGAGAGACGATTTGAACTGTCGTTCTCGGGCGAATCGATATATGATTTTACTTGATTAAAGATGAAAAATTTTCTGGAACCCGAATGTACGCTCTGACTATCAAGAATAAGTTAACTCACACTCATATATCACAAATGGAGACACGATATTACTATACACAGCATACAAGAAGTACACACACACACACACATACACACAGGAATTGGAGGAGAACACACCAAGTGTAACACGTAAAGGATTTTTATATAGCCTAATTTTATATTTGTATGCAAACATAAGTTGCGCTGTACAGTCTGTCCCTTCGTTTAGACACAAACGGCGAGCCTTAGCCCTCGGACAAGCAATTAACACGTGCTTTTTGTCGCAACATCGCTGCACCCCAAACCGTAAATCGCTTCTACCAAAACGTTACGGACGATGATAACGTACACCGTAAATGCGTATCTCTATGTGCTCCCATCTGTATGCATACGTACACGGTGTCTCTGAGAAATGTGATTTTATTAAGGGAATTGAACGAGGAGCAAAAGATATTCTGCGAACATAATGCCCGTAAACACGCTTATGCTTCCGTTGTGTGAAGTTCGTTCAGATCAACCTTTCCAAAAACATACGTTTAATATCCTATAGACTATTTGAGTTATCGCTTTGACATTTCGAAAGAAATAGTCATTTTCAACGTTATTGTGGAAGTCTATAAATTTAATGATTAGACTGCGAATTTTACACATTTATAGCAGGTGTGTAGAATACAACAAAATTAACACATTAATAAAAATGTAACACAATTATTAGTTTATTTTGAAGTCTTCAGAGTCTTTAGTAGAAGAAATAAACTTCTCTTTAACTCAAGTTTTCATAAAATAATTTAAGAGTGACAAAGCCTACATCAACATCCATAGAGTATTAATACTATTAGGTGTAACAATAACTAATTCATTACATTTTCAATAAAATAATAATAGCTTAAATTTTCGACCACTGTACTTGATAAAAATGACGTAAGATGTTCGAGAACAATAATAAACATTATTGAGAGATCACGTGTTTTGATTTTCTTGGAAACATTGTATTCGGGGAAAAATAGTGATACTTTACAGTCGCGAAAAAATAGATTTTCATTAGATAAGTGTTTTTGTCACAATATGGACAGTACATTTTTGGCTGCTTTATTATTCCCTTTTGGAAGATTATCTTCTCCAGAGACACCGTGTTTGTACACTCCCACTCATAAGTATCAGGATGTTTATCGAGCGTAAAGAATAAGCTTACAAAAAGCGTTATAAGTTATTGATGATCTTAAGGAAATATTTTCTATCAACTATCAGAACTCGATCGATTAAGATAATGTGAGTTAACCAAAAGTGACACGAAATATGTTATGTTTATGAGGTAACAGATTTTCTTCAAACGCAGCGGTTGTCCTAATATTTATGAACTGGAATGTTGAAACTCCTGAACTTTGTTTGAACACATATTTTTTTATGGTCGAAACTAGAGATCATCGTATTAAAAATATACGTGTAATTAATATACCCGTGTTTTAGTCCGTGTAGTTTTTAATACACGAATACACGAGTATCGAAATACACGGATACGAGCTGTTCCACGTCAAAACGCGCAGGGAATTGCGATCATAGTCACCCATTTTTTGTTTCAAATTTACAACATTCCTATCGCTTTCCCAAGATAAACTGTAAACATTTTCGTTCGACAATCTCAGCAATTTGTAGTTTTATCACCTATCCTAACATATAAAAAGGTATATATTCTATACTAACTAAATTTGATTAATTCGATAATTTATGGAAATCAAAGAACGTCTATATTTACAGACAGTTTAAAAAAACTATTAATATGATAAAACCAAACGCATGACGTTATGTTTGAAAATCAATATTAACGTCAATTATGACATTAATTTCATCGTATAAAAATTCCGTGGAATGGCTCATACTCGTGTATTTCGGTACCTGTATACCCGTGTTTTAAAAACCGACACGGACTGAAACACGGGTATATTAATTACACGTGTAATCGAGATCGCTAGTCGAAATGCATTCGGTCGGATAATGTGAGTGCCTCAACCCAGTCGCGGACTGTCGAACGTATGAACGAACGAACAAACGAATGCATGACAACCATTGTCTTCGTTTCGTTTCATGTTGTATTATTCCTTTATCACGAATCGCGAGAAAACTCGGCTTCCACTAGGGGAAAAAGTGGCGTAGGGGAAGAGCCTCATAAAATTTGGTATCGGGAATTATTGAAATTTATGCCAAATTAACATTCGATTTAACATTTATTTCAGTACTTGAAATAAATTTACCAAGTGATAGAAAGCCTTTCTCCTATGTCACTTTTTCCCCTAACGGAAGCCGAGTTTGCTCGTGAGGGTAAAATATCCACGGGACTATGTGTTCGTTAGGGGTATCCAATGCGGTAGCGTCGGTGACCAAAAATACGTTTGGATTCGTGGTTCATTTCCAATCTACGGACGGCGTCTCGAAATCGATTTTGACGATCTAGAATCTAGCCTAACCTCCTCGAGGGAATCGGCGAGTCGATGGTTCTTTTCCTTTCGCATTTCGGTAACGAGAAAAACAAGTCGACAGATATACTCCAGTAGTCTCTGCAATAGAAGCCGGGTGGGACACGTATCGGGGGACTTTCGGGGATAGCGAATTCGTCTCTAGAGTGGCAACACACAAAAAAGTATTCTCTGTAAATAAACCAGCTCTGAAATCTTCGCTTCGCAGTCGTGGACATTTCGTGAGTGTTTTAGAATGGTGACTGGGATTTTTACATTTTTTTAAAAACAACTAACGTTCATTGTAATCATCGACACTGTTGCTCCTTTTCGTAGAATCGAGAGATTCTATTGCGTTGCGTTACAATTGTAATAATCGACGCGTTATCGTTGTTAACAGTCCAGATAAACATTTGCGCGCAGATTGGCAGCAGATTGGCAGCAGATTGGTAGCAGATTGGCAGCATATAATGACGAAATCTGTCTACAAATCAATAGCCATCTGTTTCCGCATTTTGTTTGAGTTTTGTAGGCAGAGCCTGCCAGGCAGGATCGTGAAGCAATTTGGCGGCGGATTGTTCATAGTAGATCCTGCATCAAACCTGTAGTCATTTTGGTTACAAAAGCTTATAACAGGCATTCGACAAAATCTGGCTCTGCAGGTTTGGCTGACTGGGAGTATCAACCCACCCTCGTGCACTCCGCGATCGGCCGATGTTATTCAAGTCGGACCACACGTACGCAAAGCATACCGAACTGTTCCCAAGGTTTCGTAGTTGTGTAAATGAATAGAGAGAGACGTGGACTAGAATGTGTATAAAGTTTTTATCAGAACGGGCGTCTTCCCAGTATTATTTCCGGTAATCTGTTTTGGACCGACTCGACGGATAAGTCAAGAAAAAGCCAGGCTACGATCTGAATATATAAATATGAATACAAATATGACTATAAATACAAATATAAATACGAATATAAATATATATATATATACATACGTGTGTATACTTGAAACTAGATTCGGTTTCGCGTATAAAATACAATGGGAATTTTGCAGCCTCGCATATACAAAGATATACAGAACATTTATTTTAGGCGATCGTAAGGGCGA